AATCACGCCGTAAGACTCAGCCTAACTGGTGGATTCGGTACTCTTTCCCCTGGACGCATCGAATAATTCATCTATTGTAATGACGCTGTGCGTTGGTCATTGAGGTACCCCCAACGGATTGGCAAGTGCACTTATTGGGTAATGCACGCCGGCGCTGTCTGAACATTGGACCGCAGGTCTTCGCACACAAGGTTCACCACAACCACGAAGGTCATAACAAAACAACTGACTTTCTTGATCTCGCGGCCGCCAGCTTTTCTGTTCGTACCTCTCGTTCGGCCTCTTCCTCCCCTACGGGTTTGTCCGCTGCCGCCCGACTCATCCCCATTAGTTCCTTGGCTAGAGTCCTCTGCAGCTCGGAGTCGCGCTCCATTGAGAGACGGCGGGGACGCACGAACGCTGCCCCTGTCACGATCAAAGCACAAGGATCGCAACCAATCATCATTGAGCAGAGCCCCCCGGGTTTCATCACCAACAATCGATCAAGCCCGAGAAACAATAAACAAACACCCGGCCCAACCTACAAGAGAGCCGTATTGACAATGTTGTGAAGAGGGGTGTCCCTGATAGCTTTCTTGTCAGCTCTGGGTGTCTATTGCAAGAGGGGCTTCACGCAAACAAGTACACACACGAGTATGATAAGGGTCAATTGCCCGGCTTGACTCACTTGCGGGGGTATCGTCCGTGCCCTTCCCGTTGCCGCTACTCCCACTGCTGCCGATGCTGCCCCTCCGACGACCACTCTGCTCCTCGGTAGGAGACTGGCTCAGCCTTTGCCGTTGTTCTCGTCGTTTCTGCTGCTGATTGTTGCCGATGTGCTTAGTAACCCCTCTGCCGAACTCGTCTTCCGATCCCGAGAGGTTGTCGTCCTTCACGAACGACGCTCCGTCCGCACTACTAATGTCGTTGTGGTCGTCGTCCCCGCTCCCGCCCTTTCTACCATTGCCGGCGGTCGCTAGACCTTCTTCTCTGCTTGAATCTTCGTTGTCTCTCGCTCGTCCTGTCTCGTTCCCATCGTCGCTGCTCTTGCCCCGTGCGACGTCTCTCTCCTGTGTATGTTGAGGTAATCTTGCGACAACTACGCCCCCACCCTTCTCCTCCTCCTCTCGCTCGCCTTCCGAAGGGGAAATATCTTGCCTCCTGCGTCGGTCACTACTGCTAGAGCTGTTGAAGTCACTCACAGCCTCCTCTGGTGGCGGTGTAAAACTTCCGGCCGTCGTCTCCTCGCGACGCGAATCCCTGTCGCTCGGGTCATTACAATCAAGGCCGGCAGTACAAGGCTGTTGGAGATCAGGAGATAGCCCGGGCTCCCGAGGAAAAACCCCTGTCGAGTCCGCTGCTCCTGAATCCTGCGGACCGTCCTTCAATCTGCTCACACATGAAACATCATTGATGACATCACTACCAGAATCGCCGTTCAACGCCGGAGCTTCCCAGCGTTGCTCGCCATGCTTCTCGTCCGAGCTGCCGGCGACGCCGGGAAGTCCACTCGGGGTTTCCATCGCGGAAGGCGCGGGCTCCATGCCATGCTGTCGCCGACTTCCACCCCCCTCACCTTCTCCTCTACAAGTAGAGACGTTGAGGTCTAACTGCTGCCGCCTTTCTTGTGGGATCCCCGACGGCGCGGACTCTCGACGACGAGCTGTCGATGCTGTCACCGGTAGGGTTTGAGCGTCTACCCCTTCCTCGATATCTTTGCATTGCGGGTAGGGAGGATTCAGTTCACTCGGCGGTACATCCTCGCGCTCGGTAGCAGCATTTCCCACGGAAGGAAGAGGGTTCACGCTTTCATCAACTTCGTGGTGTCGACATTGATTGACCGCAACGCCCACTGCTGTTGCCCTCGCCCCCCCCGCCTCCTTTAATGGGTTCTGTTCTCCCATGTCGTGTTCATCGCAGCGAACCGCCGCGAGTTGCTGCTGTTCTTGTTGGTTTTCTTGTTGTTGCTGCCCTGTGTGTGAGCCTTGAGGCGTTACCCCTTCGTGGGTCACACCGTCCTCTGATGTTGCGTATGGCGTGAGCAGGAGGGAGAGTTGGGAGGGATGATCGCATCGTCAGTTGAACGATACACAGATATGCCCGTACGCGTACGTGGGTGCCAAAAGCAACACTGCTGAAGTGTTCCTAATTGCTGAAGTACTTCCTATTACTACGCAATCCGATGTGGTGCCTGGAAACGTAATGCTTATAGTCTAGACTTACAGCTGGGTTTAGTGAAGTGAGTCACTCGCAGAGATATTCAATATTGTTAAATAAAAATCTGTAGTATTGGTGGTGGAGGCAAAGGTTACATGTGCACAAGCACGTGATTGTAGGCTCGAAGTTCGTGTGTGTGCACGTGGAAGACCGCCACGGGATGATGCTGTTGAATACGTGGTTCAAACACATATCAATGCAGTAGTAAGACACGAACAGTGGATGGAGTCACAGCCGTGACGTTCGGTTCCGGAACTACGAAAGTATAGCCGAGATGTGCCGCCGCCAATCGCGAAAATACAGATAGTCTAGACTCATTCGAGCCAACCTCCGCACCAACAATTTTCGAGCGATACACGCTTGGTTCTCGTATATTCTTAGATACCTGACTTACACACACACCATGGCAACTAGAAGTGTTTTCTTTTTCAACCGCACTGAGACTTACGTCTTTTCATTGGTCAGCCGGTTAGTGCGGTCGATGCTACTTAAAAAGACACACCATCTTTGATGCAATACCGGTGGCACGCCCTCACCTGTTGAACGTCGTGTTACTCCTGTATGGTCGACATGGTGTCCACTCATCATGACGCCGGTGGTGGAGCCGTAGTCCTTGTGCAACCTCTCTCATTTGCAAATCGTCAACCGTAAGCTTGTTTTGACAAGTACGCGTTCATTTCACGCGGCGAACTCTGATGACGATCCCCGATCCACAAGGTGGAGGCACAGCAAAGTGTTGCAAGCCCGCGAAAAGCCAAGGACACGAAAACAACATGTTCGGTGCGGCGCATCATCAATCTAGGTTTGGTTCCCAAACCATGAAACCGTTGCTCAAATCCCAAGTGACAATTTCGGAATTTTTTCCGTGTCTCCCTCTTTTTTGGTACATTTGGTACTAGCGACTCGTGTGTGTTGTGTGTACTAGCGGGTCGTGTAAACTTGAAAATGATAGGTGCGAATAGGGCGCCCATGAAAGACGAATAAAGAGGCTTCCAAGCTTGGTCAGTCCAATGCTTCGTCTAGACGGGGGTCGTGCAACGGAAATCAAATACAACTAACGGGTACACCCGGGTACTTCATCACCACTTTTTTTAGGGTAGTACAGTTCGAAAATCAATACGCTTGCACCCCCAGGCTGTCAGCTGATTGGCCAAAAAACCATTACACCCATTTCTGAAGAAACCTCCATCGGGTATAACTTCCGCTGGAAATAGGACCCTCTGGTGTGACCGATTTTGGTTACTGGTGTATCCAGAAGAGGTCGATTTTGTACCCAGAAATGATCGTAGACTAGTCAAATCCCGGCGCCCGACGCTCTATCTAGCAGCATAGACTAAAACCCGCAGAAACCGTGTACCTCACATTCCGTGTACCGCACATACATAACCACAACCAAACTACCAACAACGCTCACTCGTTCATCGTTCATGGGCACCGCCTCCATAGGATACCGGCCCCTCTCAACAGAGGGTCGGACTCGCTTGACGCGCGAGTACTTCGGTGTGGTACTGATCAGCAAAAAAAGCACAGAGAGAAAGAGAGAGGCATAGCTAGAGAGAGAGAAAAACGGGCACGACCTGCCTCGTGCATCATGCTTCCGAGGCACAGGACACAGGCCACAGACAGCGGTTTATTGGTTTCGCCGCGACCTACGGCGGATGCTGTCGGAGATTGGTTGATGATTTCCAAGTGTACCCTGAAATGGTGCTAATCCAACCGGCTAGTCTACCGGTTTCTGGTTCTCAAAATTTAATTTTTGGAAGTGGCAGGTGCCTCGCCGACGGAGAGCACGCGTCTACAGCCTGTTGTGCCCCCCAACATTGGTCTCCGTCGCTCTGATATATCCGCATCCCTGATCACCTACACATCGGACCTCGTGGACCATTTCACCTCGTTAGCTTCAAGCGGATCCACGAGGTCCAATGTTAGCTTCTAGCCGATCATCCCTACCGTAACACCAAATACTGCTGTGTGCTACAAGAGGCCGCCCGCGCTACCGAAGTTCACCCGCGAAACGCGGCGGAACTTCGACCCCTACACTGCCGCCGCTGTGTATGTGCTGTGCTCTCTGACCACCGCCGACCGACCAGATGCCCCAAGTGTCTCACCCCAGTAGCGGCCTCGTGGCCCTACGAATTCTTTGCGTGCCGCTGCTGCTGCTGGTTCTTTCGAGACTGCAGCTGCTGCTGTTCTTGCGAGCGGTGCTCTCGACATTAATCAGGCAGATCCGAAGGGCTGGACCGCTCTCATGATCGCTTCCCACCAAGGACACTCGCGCATTGTCAGGATGTTTCTGGAAAAGGGCGCAGAGGTCTTGATGACAGAGGATTGAGGCTATACTTCTTGCACTAGTCCGCTATAGCAGGACACCCGGCCGTGACCAAGATGCTGATGGAAGCAGGTGCACCCCTGGAGGTTGCCACCAAACAACAGCTTTGCACGCCGCTCCACGTTGCTGCTGTCAACGGATGCGCCGCGTCAACAAGAACAATGCTCAAGGCCGGCGCGAATCCCAACAGCCGTCGGTTTGATGGGGCAAGCCGCTATTTTTGGCGGCGTGGGAAGGGAAGGTGGATGCGGTAAGGCTGCTACTTCTTGCGAAAGCAGACCCGCTCTTGACTCTTCACCTTGGTTGGTACGTCTGAAAGGACCTCTCTCCCATTCGACGTTGCGGTGGATCTTGGACACCTGGAAGTGGTAAACGAGCTGATCCGGCAGGTTGGCATCGGTGGATGTGGTGGCTCAAGCGGAGGTGTACGTGCTCTCCAGCAGGCCGCTCGGAACAAACCCTTGGACATGCTGACTGTTCTAACCAGCGCCGGAGTGGTAGACACGGGATTAGCCCTCCGCGCCGCCGCATTTGGAGGCGTGGCCCCCTTGAAGTTTCTGTTGGAGCAGGCAAGGGCGAGGAAAACCATGGGTGGGCCTGCGTAGGTGAACATCCGCAGCGTTATCGGTTTGACGCCATTGCTTGTTGGCATTTAGCGATGCCGCCCCAGAGTTGTGCGGTTGTTTGTCGAAGCCGGAGCGGACACGACATCCACGGTTCCAATCGACGGCTTACCTGGTACGGACAACATCACACCCATGCATGGGTCTCACCATGCTTCTCCTCCGTGATTTGGGAACAGAACCATTGACAGAGGAGCAGCTGAATGCCCTAGAGGCTATACGCCGCTTGCTGCTGCGAGTGGAGGCAGTTCACGCGGTCTCTTGGCTGTGGTCTAGCGATATCTCCACCTTCACCTATTCTACGGCACAGGGCACGGGCCGGACGACGTCGAAATCGACACCTGGAACACCGCTCGTGTTGACGATGAGGCAAAGGGCTAGGTCTAGAAGAGAGCTTGAGGTTCTTTTGGCGGCCCTGTTGAGGTGGGATGTTGTGACGTGAAGATCTGTATTACACTCTACGCATTGAAGCTCATAATGAAAATTGGAGTTAAACAAATGAAGAAACCCAAAGAGAGTCTAACAGCACTCGCGAAGAATGTTTCCCCTCCAGACCAAGTCCAGACACAGTAGGGGAGGGGTAGGAAGGAAAAGTCAGGAAAAAAATGTAGTACAGTAGGCCCGGCCCGCTCAGAAGGAAAACCGTAACAAGAATCGAGGCTCGAATTTTTTTATGGTGTACGAGAACTGGCCCAAGAAAAATCGGGCTGACCCGGCAACACCACACGAATCCTGCCAATTTCGGAGGTCGGCAATGGCCCGGGATCAATCGGTAGACACAGTAGGGCTCTGAGCCTTGCTCGCAGTAGGCATTTCTTATGAGCGAGTCTGAAAGATCTGGTGGCTCCTATTTGGAAACTTGCTCACACGACAAGCATCTTTAGGAAGTATCATATGCAACATGAAATGAAACCTGAAAGAAACTATCCCTTCAACCAATCCACCACTAAATAATTGTCGTTTCTCGGTGGTGTTGGGGGGTTGGTATGTAGTTTACTGAACAGACCTGGAGATAAGAAACATCGATCTCGGTTCCAGGCTCAGAGCCTTATATTTTGTCGCCACTGCTGTCCAAGACAGGCTATTGTATGCTTGAAATAGACCTTACTACAGGATCCACCGCTGAGCTGTTTTCATTAATCCTGGATTCTTATTTGGTGAAGTTTGGTGATTTTTGAGCCTCTGTTTCTTAACGAAATAAATAGACCCAGTAGTCTAATAGTTGCACGAAGTATTTCTTGACTGCGAGCCCGTTCTGTATGCCATGTAGAGCTCTCGTGTCGTCGCGATCAACGTAGTATTGTATTTTTTGTGCCGCTCTGGTTTCTATCGTTGTCCTGATCTGTATCTGGCCGTGTTTGCTTGGCTTGCGATGCTTCGAGTCTATGTAATGATTGATCCTCTTCGGTGTTGAGGTTGAAATGACTCCTCGTAAGGATGAAGGCTCAGACAAGACGGTGGGGTTTTGTGTTGCGGGGCCACGGTGCTCCTTGCACATGGTTTTTCGAGAGCGGCAAACGCCTACCCACGCTCTAGCCGACTTCGACCGATGTTCAAACCGCCTCTCTGCTATGTGTCGCTCGTCGTCTTTCGTCTTTCGTACTCATACGCTGTTGTTGCAGGTATTCGTCAAAGCCATGATGGACCAGGGGGCCTCGTCAGCCTCCGGATTTGTCGTCGGACGGCGTGGCGTAGTGGGCACTCGCGTAGCAGCATCCATGCCCAGGCCTGGATTGGAGGACGTGACTCCAGGCAAATTTCGATGGGTCATTGTGTTCATGCCCGAAGATGTTCAGAGCTTCCGGTTTGGACGTTCAAAGGACACCCGCAGGGATGCTACCAGTACGATCAACAACGATCACTTTGAAAATGACGTTCGTAAAGGACAAACCTGAGAACCCTCGCGAAACCTGAGAACCCCTGCGATGTAGAGGTGCTTGAGCATAATGAGGAAAGGGATCAGGGCGGAAAACAAACGAAAGTGTAGGAACCAAATGATTTGTAGCATGCCACCGACGCACGTGTTTCTCCCATTTTTGTCTTCGGGACTGAACTTCTAAAACAGGCAAGTATTTCTTGTACGTGAGCATTACCTCGAGCGCCGTGGGCAATCGTTTTTCGAGGTTGGCTATGTTTCGAGAACAAAGAGGGGCGTAAGCCAGACAGAAAAAATGGAATGATACTGTTTGCCGTTCCGGGACACCACCATCAGCACACAACGCGGGGCAACCTAGCAATACCAAAATAACGGCCATCAGTGAGAGAAACCAACGAACTATCGTCGGTCCTCAGCTCCTACCCCCTTAAACGCGACAATTCTTGCGTTTTCATAGGCAACATATGAGCAACTCCCAAAATGATACTCAAAAAGCCTCGAACCCAAGGTTGAACTCTGTCCGATCAGGCGCCACGCGTAAGAAATAAAAGGGGCACAGCAGTCAACCCGGGGAGGGGGGGGGGGG